GATCAGGCAGACCAAAACTTAGTAAGAAACTCAATGAATACAACAGCAGATTTGACCTCATGAACATACAGAGAACCCTAGATTTAATTAACAGAGAATAGAAATTACTTCTGAAGTAGTCATAAAATCATTTACAAAAATTCAGGATTTAGGCCACAAAGCAAGTCTCAAAAAAAAAAAAAAAAAAAAAAAATCAGGGCCAGCCCCATGAGTGAGTGGTTAGGTTCGCACACTCTGCTTTGGAGGCCAGGGTTGGCTGGTTCGGACCCTGGGCACTTACCTAACACAGCTCATCAAGCCATGCTGTGGCGGCATTCCACAGAAAAGAACTAGAAGGACTTACAACTAGGATATACAGCTATGTGCTGGGGCTTTGAGGAGAAAAAAAAAGAGTAAGACTGGCAACAGAAGTTAGCTCAGGGCCAATCTTCCTAAAAAAAAAATCATGCTTTCTGACCAAAATGAAATTAAGTTGGCGATCAAGAACAAGAATGAAAAATAACCTACAGTTTTGGAAATTAAGACATTTCTTAGTTATAAATGAGTCAAAGAAGAAATCATAATTAAAATGAGAAACTACTTAAAATTGAACAACAATGAAAATTCTACATACCAAAAGTTGTGTAATAAAACTAAAACAGTATGTTGAGGGGCTGGCCCGGTGGCGCAGCGGTTAAGTTCGCACCTTCTGCTTTGGCGGCCCAGGGTTTGCCGCTTCGGATCCTAGGTGCAGACAAGGCCACTGCTTGGCAAGCCGTGCTGTGGTAGGCGTCCCACGTATAAAGTAGAGGAAGAAGAGCATGGATGTTAGCTCAGGGCCAGTCTTCCTCAGCAAAAAGAGGAGGATTGGCAGCAGATGTTGGCTCAGACTGCATCATGTTCACCACCAAAAGTCTAGTTTCTCAAAGTTCATCTTAGAAGAAACAGTGAAAACGCATGTGTTAAGTTTCCAACACAAAAGGTTAGAAAAGGAATGAGAAAATAAAGTCATATAAAGAAAAGAGCAAAGATACAAGAGAGGCTCACTAAAGCCAAATGTTGGTCTTTGAAAAGACATAGAATGCCACAGAAAATCCCTTACAAAACTGACCGGGTGAACGAGCACATGCAACTGTAGGGTGAGGAGTAGGTTACACAGGGGGAGAGTATCTCAAAAGACAAAGAACACTGCACAGAGCTTTACACCAGTACATTTGTAAACTTAGATAAATGGACCATTTAGTAAAAACATATTTTATAAAATTGGATTTAAGATATTAAAAACCTGAATATTCCTGCCAGCTTTAAAGAAATTGAATCAGTAGTTAAAAACGTATCCTATCCACACAAGCCACAGGCCCGGACGTGTGCAAGTGCAACTGCCACACACCCAGGAACAGATAATGTCTCAGAGGAAGTGCTCCCAACGCTGACGTGAAAACCAGCCAAACACAGAATGAGGAGTACAGGCCATTTTACTTATCAATATGGAAAAAAAGTCCTAAATAAACTACTAGCAACCTGAATCTATTTAAAAAATCACAGAGACCTACTATCCCAGGAATGCAAGAAATACAGAATAATAATAATAATAAAAATGTCAACTGTAGCGGCGTCCCGGGCTGCTGTAACCAAGCCCCACAAACTGGGAGTCTGAAAACAACAGAAATTCACTCCCTCACACTTCTGGAGGCCGGAAGTCCAAAAGCCAGGTGTGGCAGGTCTGGCTCCTCCTGGAGGCTCTGAGGGCGACTCTGCTCCAGGCCCCCCTCCTGCTCCTGGTGCCGGCCATCCTTGGGCGTCCCTTGGCTTGTGGCTAAGTCGCTCCAGTCTCTGCCTGTCTTCACCGGCGTTCTCTATCTTCTTATAAGGATACCAGGCCTCTTGGATTAGGGCTCACTCTACTCCAGTGTGACCTCATCTCAACTAATTCTATCTGCAAAGACCCTATTTCCAAATAAGGTCACATCACAGGTACTGAGGATTAGTACTTCAACAAATCTTTTTGAGGGACACAATTCAGCCCACAACACTGACATAAATAGACTCAGAAAACATACTTGATAAAACACTACACCCGTTCGTGACCAACAGCCTACAGCAGAAGACTTCCTAGGCTGACAGGCGGCATCCCAGCACCCCAGGGACAGCAGGCCTGCAGCCTGAGCGTTAGGACAAGGCCAGGGTGCTGGCCCTCCTTGGTTCAGCCTCGTTCCGAAAGTCCTGGCCAGCGTGGGGTGGGGCCAGCATCACAGGCAATCCAGGAGACGGATGATGAATCATTAATGAGATTAATGAGAGCTCAACAAAGTGTAAAAAACGACACTGACATATAAAAATCAACATCTGTATACCAGTAACAATCAGAAAATAGGGCTTTAAAAAGAGATATAACTTACAAAAGCCAGAGCCATAAAATTGATAAAGTGCCTAGAAATAAACCTTCAAGAAATAGGCAAGGCCTTTGTGGAGAAAGTATACAATGCACCATCTTTATACGTGGGAGAAGACGACATACTCAAGATGTCCATTTCCCCCAAACTGATCCATAAATTCAACACAATTCTAACCCAAATCCATACAGGGATTCTTGTGGAAACCTGATCCCAAACTGACCCAGGAATCCCACAGAACATCCAAGACACCTTTGGAAAGAGGACACTCCTGCCCGCAGACAGCGTGGTGCTGGCTGGAGGGTAGAGGGCGCAGGGCAGAGAAGGGCGGCTGCTTATCAAGACCTGGAACCCAGAGTGTGGGTGATGGACACACATGTCAACAGAATCCTAAAAAGAATCCAATCCCTTCACCTAATTACAGAGATGAGTCAGCAACCAATAAAGAATTCAAAATCATCACGGTCCAATAAAAACCAGACTCTAGGGCCGGCCCTGTGGCTAAGTGGTTAAAGTTCCGCATGCTCCGCTTCGGCGGCCTGGGTTTGTGGGTTTGGATCCTGGGTGCGGACTTACTCTACCGATCAGCCACGCTGTGGAGGCATCCCACATACAAACTAGCGGAAGACTGGCATGGATGTTAGCTCAGGGCCAGTCTTTCTGAAGCAAAAGAAGAGCAAGATTGGCAACAGACGTTAGCTCAGGGTGAATGTTCCTCACAAAAATAAATAAATAAATAAATAAAATCTTTAAGAAAACAACAAAAAACCCTGAAACAAACAAAAAAATGAGACGTTATCTGAGCCCTGAACCTGCCAGGTCTGCTGTGTAAGAGGAAACACGGGAGAGCCTGTGGGCTCCAGGAGGGGACCAGAGGTGGGAGCATTGTTTCTAAGGATGTTAACTCCCAGCCCACCCACCCATTTGCTCTCTCCTCCTGCTCCCCCTGGGACTTCTGGCTCCTACCAACAGAAGCTCCCCTTCTGCAGAAGACTCCCAAACTTCCCCTCCAAGCCCGCTCAGACCTGCCCAGCCATTGCCTCTTTGGCCTCTGACCCCTAGTGTGTGTCCAGCATCCACACTGATCTGACCCCAATACATGTCCTGTCTTCCCAATCCCACGCAGGAGCACCTAAGTGCACCCCAAAGCCGCCTGCACAAACACCAGACTGTGTGGCACAGAATGGCGTTACCACTCTTGCTGCTGACTGCCAGTGGGCCTGTTTCCATCCTGGGCCACCCGCATGGCGTTTTCATGGAGCAAAAGGGACCCCACGTGGTTTTCACCAGGACAGACACCATCCTGGCACATTACCATCCAGCCATTCCTTCTGGACTTGGCTCCTTGGGCACTGGGCCCAGGGGTCTACTCTGGGGCCTAGAACAGTATCTGCTAGATATGGGCACCAGGGTGCAGGCACTCAGGGTATGGGGCAGCAGGGTACAGGCCCTCGGGGTATGGGGCACTGGGGAGCAGGCACCTGGGGTATGAGGCACCAGAGTGCAGGCTCCCAGGTATGGGGCATTGGGGCGCAGGTTCAGGGTATTGGGCACTGGGTGCAGGTTCTGGGGTATGGGGCAGCAGGGTGTAGGCACTCAGCGTATGGTGCACTGGGGTGCATGACACTGGGGTGAGGCTCCAGGATATGGAGTATTGGGGTACAGGCTCTGGGGTATGGGGCGCCAGGGTCTAGGCTCCAGGGTGTGGGGCACTGGGGTGCAGGCTCCGGGGTCAGGCACTTGGGGTATGGGGCACCAGGGTATAGGCTCCGGGGTATGGGGCACCAGAGTGCAGGCTCCGGGGTGCACACTCTGGTCAATGTTGCCACTGAAACCACATGGTGGGTATATGAGCACCACAAGATATCCTGATGTGCATGAGGTTAACAGGAAGAGGGAGGCCAGGCATCCACCACCACGTGTCACCTCTGCACACAGCCATGGCGGCTGGCGGACGGGGCAGACACATCCTCAACCCCAAGGCCAGAGTCCTGGGGTCTCTCTGGCGCTTGGGGCACAGGGCCTGGACGCTCTGCTCCGCTGCCTGACCACCTCAATCCTTTACTTGTAAAACGGGGATGACAATAGCACCGTCCTCTGGGGTTCTAGTGAGACCCATCAAGTTTGGGCAGGGGAGGGCTGGCACCTATGCTGGTGCCCGTCCTTCAGGTCCCCGAGGACCTGCCTCCTGAGAATCACAGGCCTCGTCTGCCCAGACGGGGCTTCGCCAGGAGAAGGCACCTCCCCTTCATGGCATGTACTTTGTGGGAGCTGCCTCTGGGGGGTACTAACGCCATGTCTGCACTTCCCAAAGCACACAGAACCAGACAATTCCACAGTTTTTAGCCAGAAAATCTCCAGCCCCAGACACTTCCTGACAGCTGCATCTAGGAAAGGAGAGGAGAGCGGCTCTCACTTACTGTCCCCACCAGAGGCCACTTGGCAGGGAGGCAGATCTTGGTGCCAGAGGGGAAAGGTGAGGAGACACGCAACCCTCCCCATCACGGAAGGCTCTTGTCAAACGGAGACGAGAGCCACTGGGGACATAGGTGGCAGTGGGCACAGGCAACTGCTCACGGAACAATCAGGCCCCACCCCCGTGCCCCAGGTCTGCCCGGGCCGCCTCACCTGCCGCTCTCCTCCTTCACAGCCCCAAACACGGCCTGCCGGTTCGCCCTCCCTGGTGGTTCCTGCGCCTTCTCACTGACGTCCGGCTCGGGCTCCAGGGAGGAGCTGGTGCTGCCATCACGGCTGACGCTGCTGCCTCGCCCAGGGCTGTTCTCTGCGGAGGCGCGGGGGGACTCGGTGTTCTGCTTCAGGGTCTGCAGCTTGGCCAGGGGGATGATGTCGCAGTCCTGTGGCCGATGCCACACGGTGCGCTGGGTGGTGGCATTGTAGTAGTAGAAGCGGGACGTGTTGGGGTCAAAGAGCTCCCACCACTGGTTCTCGCTGGTGCGCTTGATGCGGACGCCAGCGGGTGGGTCCCACACGCACTCACCGGTGACCAGGTTGGCATACATGCGCTCGCGGGTGCGTGGCTCGATGATCTCCACCCACTCCAGCCTGAGAAAGAGAAGATGGTATTAGCGTGTGGTGGCGCTGCAGGCGGCCAGCCCAGGACCAGAACGGGAGGTTGGCAGAGAGAAGCAGGGGGCCCCACCCCGGGCCTGGCCCCCAACCCACGGGCAGCCCCATCCCTTAGGCAACGTGCCTTGCATCCCAAGCCGCCAGGTGGTCCACCCTACATCCAGCATCAGACCTTTTCTCACATCCAACAGTTTCAAAAGCAGGAAATCCTGTCACAAAATAAAACCAGCCCAAACCCACGTTCCACCCCTGGTTTTCTAAATGCTCATTAGTTCCCAGGCCCTTGTGCGCTCTCTGAGGGGTCTTGGGTCTGGCCCCTCTGGCCCACCCCATGTGGAGGGGGCACGGAGCTCCCGCCTCAAAGGGGCTGTCCACTCTCCTCGCGTCCGGCAGCATCCTCCAGGAGCCCTGGCTGCTCTCAGCCTGCCTGGTCACCGTGGGCCACCACCATGGGCCACCACTGCCCATCAGTCTGCAGCAGGAACAGGGACCACCATCTCCACACTGGGCCCAGCAGAGACGGTTTCCTCCCAGGGGCCCCCAGAGCGCCCCACCCCCAGGACACAGCTTCCATCCTGGTAAGTTTTTTTAATTAAAAAGATAACTTGGGGGGCCTGCCAGGCTGAGTGGTTAAGTGCACGTGCGCCGCCTAGGCGGCCTGGGTTCACTGGTTGGGATCCTGGGCGCGGATCTATACACCACTCATCAGGCCATGCTGTGGCAGTATCCCACAATGAAGAGCTAGAATGACCTACAACTAGGATATACAACTATGTACTGGCACTTTGAGGAGGAACAAGTTAGCTCTGCTCCAATCTTCCACACCAAAAAAAAAAAAGATAACTTGGAAAACAATGTAAATTAACTCTATCTAGAACAAGGCAGTTTTAATGCTGATACGTTTGATGTCAGGGTGTGGTCCAGCTGACATCTGGTGTATTTTTATTCTGCTTCCAAGTTTCCACATAAATAACAACCCTCTAAATGCCACAGACTACTCTGCAGTGTGGACGCTCTGTGCCTGCCTGTCTGTCCACCAATCTGCTGTTTGGAAACCCTGCAATAGGCCTGCTTCTCACCACCCCTGTGATGGTCAGAAGTCTGGTCTCCAGGACAAAGAGCGCTAATTCCAGGGGCTTGGAGACAATGAGGGGTGGCCTGCAGCTCCCTCTCTGCCTCCAGGCCGTGTCTTCCAAGTGCGAGCAAAGGTGGGCTTGGCAGAGGGCGAGGGGGCGCTGACGGCCTTAACATAAGTGCTCATTCTCTGAGGACCTCACCCTACTCTGAGACCAGACCTGTTTGAGGGCTGGCTGCCCGTTTAGGGAGGAGAGAAGGCACGCCCAGCCCCCATTACTCACTGTCCATTCCCAGCGGCAGTGCCCCCTGCAGCAGCCCTGCAGGCTCTGGGGCCTCTTTCTGGGTCAGCAGACCCTTCCAGAAGCCCACAAGGAGGGCCAGGTGAGTCCAGGGCCCGTGTCTCAGCCAGTGCCTGAGTGTGGGCACCCAGCACAGTGCAGTGAGGCCAGGCAGGAGGACAGGAAGTGGAGTGGCCTGGCAGGGCAGAGGACGTGGGGAGGGCTGCCTCATGGGATGGGGCTCTGCCATGGGGGCTGAGGGGCACAATGAGTTGGAGGATGTGGATGGCAAGTGGAGCCATGGAGAGGGCAGGAGATGAGGGAGGATCAGAGGGAAGGGTGCACCCTGGGGATCCTGAAGGCTGGAGGAGGAAATGCCAACATGGGATCGCCCCTGGGACTCACCAGACCCTGAGAAGCAGCAGGCTGTATGAGAGATGGGATGGAGAGGATGAGGAGACAGTCATGCTCAGCTCGCCTTAGAAACAAAAGGAAGCCAAAAGCAGATGGGGACAGCAGAGAGGAGGAGGGGTGGCGACTGTGTGTCCCAGGACCACCAGCGAGCAGTGGTGCCCAGTGTGAGGAGGCTCTGCATAATGCTGCTGCTCCAGGGAAGCAGGAAGCTGGGATGTTGGTTAGGCATGTTCCCGATGCCACACGTGAGCAATGTGGAGCCCTCACCCCACCCCCAAGGATCCAGCGCAGGGAGTGACCTGTCCTGTTTCCTCAGCACCAGCACTTCCCAAACAGACACCTTCCTCACTGATGACCAGGGCAACCCCTCTTCCCCCGCCCCCTCCACAGCCTGCGTTCCACCGTCCCTTGCCCAGCTCCCTCCACCACTCAGCTCATGACTGCAGGCCGGCCCACACTCCTGCAGGAGCCACTGAGGGATCCACAAACAGCACTTTCCGGTCTTCGATGGAACTGTGCCACTTTTGGTACTACTGACCACCCCCTTTTATTTTCATATTTTTAACTTTTTGTTTTGAAATGCTCAGGCTGCTAGAACAGAACACCACAGACTGGGTGGCTTATGAACAACAGACATTTACGTCTCACGGTGCTGGAGGCTGGAGTCCGAGGCCAGGGTATGGCAGGTTGGGTGCCGGTGAGGCCCCCTTCCCGGCTGCAGGCAGCCCCATCTCCATGTTCTCACGTGGCGGGAGAGCAGAGTCAGCAGTGAGCTCTCCACTCTAAGGGCACTAATCTCTTCACGGGGCCCCACCCTTATACCTAATCACCCCACAGGCCCCACCTCCAAATACCATCACACAGGGGGAGGGTTTCAACTTGAATTTTGGGGGGACACAATCAGTCCATAACATAAACAATTTCAGGTCTACAAAGAGTTCAAAGAACAGCCTTCGTCCAGATTCCCTGTGTTACTACTCCATAGACGACATGCAGGGATCAAGGTGAGGGGCTCTCTGGGCGTCTGGCAGGAGTGTGCAGGAGAGCTTCTGGGCCCTGGGGGGTTCTGTCCACAGCAGATAGCAGCACCCCAGGAGTCCCCCCACCATGTTGCTGCTCTTTCTCCTTGTGACTAGGATGTGTCTGGAGGGGAGATGTTCTACTTAATTATCCTGTTTCTTGTCACACTTTCACCCACTATTTTAGCATTCACTGATGATTCTTGCTGGAAACATTCATTACTGCGGTGTTGGCCCAACACTGATTGTCTGCTTCTGTCGATCCTTCTACATGTATTAGTTGGAATTCTATCCTCAGTGTCGTAGGATAAAGACGTTGTCATGTTACCAGTGGTTGCCATGGTAGCACCTTTTCTTCTTTCCACTCTTCTCTATTTTCCAAGTTTTCTATAATTTTCACAGATTACTTTTGTAATGAGACAAAAATTAAGAGACATTATCTACCATTCAATACATTTTCCAACTATGGCATACAATAAGACTTTCAGTGTCAATCTTTAAAGTTTTAAAGATTTAGTGGACATTTCCATCATGTGTCTGCACACTTTCTACTGGCCTGCACAGCACATCCCTCAGGCATGCAACCAGTGGTCTCTCCCTGTGGGCGAGCATGATCAACGTTATTTCCCTGTGTGTGTGTGCAGGTACCAATGGTCTCTGGGGCTGGGGGGGCAAGGCTGGTCAGTGGTCTCTTCCTGGGTGGCAGGGGTGGTCAATGGTCTTTCCCTGGTGGGTGGGGAGAGGGGGTGGACAATGGTCTCTCCCTGTGTAGGGGGGTGATCAGTGGTAGCTTCCTGAGAGGGTGTAATGATCAATGGTCTCTCCCTTTGGGGGTGTGTTTTAATGTGAATCCAAACTTAATGACAGGGATGGACTTTTACAGTTAACAATTAAACAAAGTTATATAGCCTTTTTTAAAAAAGGCTTAACATGTTTATATGTATATATTTGTGTAGGAAATTGCTGGAAGGGTAAAGCCAAGTATTAAAAAGGGTTGCCTAGGAGTAGTGGAATTTGGCACAATTTTACATTTTTCCTTTTTTACTTATCTAATTTTTTTCAAATCTTATAATGGAAAATTTCAAACATACACAAAAATAGATTAGTATAATGAATGCCCATGTATGAGGTTTTAAATTTTTCCTGATTATTAATGAGGTCAAGCATCTTTCTCATATTCATGAGCCATTTATACTTCTCATTTACTAGAAACAGTGACTTTTTGCTCATTAAAAATTTTTTTTCTTGCTAATTTGTAGGAGTTGTATTTTTAAAACATATATATTATATATGAATATAAACACATATGTAAATATAAACATATATAATATAAACATATATTTTATATATGAATATAAAACATATGTATTCTCAATAGCAATCCCTCTTGGTTGAGTCTGTTACCAATCTCTCTCCTACTTGTGGCTTGTCTTTTCACTCTCTTTATGGTGCCTTTGCCTTTTGATAAAAAGAAGTTTTTAATTTTATTATGTTTTAAATTTTATTACAGTTGAATTATAGTCGATTTCTCCTCTTCTGCCTTGTTTAAGAAATCTTCCCTATTTCTAGATCAAAAACATTCTCCAATAAGTTGATTTGACAAAGTTTTGCAGCTTTGCCTCTCATATTCAATTCGTTAACTACCTGAATCGATTTTGCTTACTGTGTGACATTTCATTTTCTGCACGTGGACAGCCAGGGGTCTCAGGATGGGTCGTTACACAGCAGCCTTTCTTCCAGGAGCGACAGTGTCGGACACTGTGCCTGAGCTCCCTGCTGGCTCTGTTGGCCGATCCTTCTCTGACCAGCACCACGTCGTCTTACCCACGACAGCTCTGCACAGTCAGCACTGCTGGGTCCCTACTTCTCTGCTTCATCAGGCATGTTTTGGCTGCTCTGGACTCTCGCTCTTCCCCATGGATTTTGGAATCAGCTTGTCAATGTGCATAAACATAGTAGGTGCCTTCGCTGGATCTATCCCAGGAGAATAGGGACGTCTTTGTGGTGACTTAGTCTCCACCCAGACCATGGTGTATCCACACGTTTAGGTCTTCTTTAAAGGGTATGTACATCTTTTGTCAGATTTATTCCCAGGTTTTATACACATACACACACACCTGCTATTGTAAATGGTATGTTTACTCTTTTAAAAATAAAATCATGACATACAACATACACAGAAAAATGT